TTCCACCTGCAAAGCAGGTTGAGGTGGAGTTTGGAATGAAAAAGCCTGAGCAAGCAGCTGTACAATGCAGAAATACTGGGAGAGTGAAGGTTCTGCTGGCAGATGATGCCTCCTGTCATCCCTCCCCTCAGGAGGTTTAGACAGCAGAAGTACAGTCTGATGTTAGCCCAGGCTACAGAGCACATCTGAGGCCATTCTTGCCTATGTGGTGAGACCTTGTCTCAAGAAATAAAAACTAAAAATAAAGCGTGCATTATGCTTACCAGTGAATTCAATAAGGAGAAAATAATCACTTAAAATATTAGTAAATATTCTATGCAGCGGATATCACCGGGAAAGTTCTCAGGCACCAAAGTTTGTGCTGTGTCACGGCATGCCGGAAGCTGGTCTGTTCAAAACTGTAAACTTTACACAGACACACGGATCATAGATTTTGGGGAGGCCCATGCAGTTCAGTAGCCAAGAGACAGTCCTCTGCTGCCGCACCCTCCCTGCTCTGTGCTCACTCTCACTCCTTCTCTGCAGTGTGTGGACAGAAGAGGCTCAGTGCACCCTGCTGAACGTGTCGATCACAGAAACGTTTAACTGTTCCTTCAGCTGTGGGCCCGACTGCTGGAAGCTCTCTCAGTACCCTTGCCTGCAGGTCTACGTCAACCTGACTTCTTCCGGGGAGAAGCTCCTCCTCTACCACACAGAAGAGACCATGAAAATCAATCAGAAGGTAGGCTCCCTGTGCCCAGGTGCCCAGCCCACAGACTGCCTGCCTCCCCTCTCTCCACTTTCCCTTTGTGAGTATCTCAAAGGAACCACACCATGAAGGAGGCCCTGCTTGCTCCATTCACAGAACTCACCCTCTGGATCTGTCCAGGGAAATGCTTGTTTTCTGTACAAGCCACGGACAAGCTATTCCTTCATTTCATGGTAGAGCAGATTTAGCTGTGTTTTCTGTTTGAGAGGATATTTCTGCAAAGAGCCTAAGTCTTTCAAAGCGAGTACAGAATTTAATAAGAGATGTGCATGCCCAAATACCTATCATGACTTGGGAGACATGGGGTAAAACTGGACTTTACTTTTCCGCATTCAGTTCTGTGACTTTGGGCATGTAACTTAACTTCCCTGATACTGGGCCTGCTTTTTCAAAAGGAAAGTAATAGCCACTTACAAAGTCATTATCATAATTAAGGATTAGAGAGTAGAAAGAAATTGAACTAAGAAATTGAACATGTGGTCAACAGAGTGTGTGTGTGTGTGTGTGTTCATAAATTCACACACGTATGTTCATTCTTTATATATGATGTTCATAGAGGCCTAATTTATAGTACTGTTCATATCAGTCACTTTTCTGATGTGATGACAAAATACCATGGCCAAGGGCAACTTAAGGAAGACAGGGTTTATTTTGCTTTAAGGTTCCATCACGGCAGGGAGGCATGGCAGCGGGAGCAGGAGTTGAGAGGTCTCATGCTCAACCACAACCTACACAAGAAAGCGAATGGGAAATGAGATGAGGCTATAAGCTCCTACAACTGCAGCGTAGTTCCTTCAGCTAGGTTCCACCGCCTCATAACCTTCCCAAACAACGCCATCAGCTAGGGACCAAGTATTCAAATAACTGAGCCCAGGGAGCATGTTTCTCACTCAAAACACCACACTAGTATATTAAAGTCCACATGGGCAGGTGCTTAGTAAATGTGCATTATATCAAAGCTATGCATAAAATTTACTTTGATGTGGGCCATCATGGTTTCAAGCCTATAATCCCCACACTTAACAAGTTAAAACAGGAGGATTGCCACAAGTCTGAGGCCTACCTGGGCTACTAAGCAAGTACCAGGCAAGCCAAAACCACATAGCAGGATCCTGTCCAAAAATATTTATATTTATAAGGTCTGGGAAGGACTGTGATGACCAGTGTGTGTTTTCGTTGAACCAGTCTGCCATCATCAATTTCAAGTTATATGTATATTAGTTTTGAGTTTTATATTAGCTGCTTAGATGTGCAGAATATTCTTGAATAGGCCAAGACAGTCTGATTTCAGCCTCCAATAGCACCATTGGTGCTTATTTCCAGGAAGCAAGCCTTGTGAATGCTAATCGTTCTTGTAAAAGTTTTCATTGCAGTGACCATCCCTTCAGTGATAGCTTACAAGGGTTTCAGTAGCTTAGAGGTTCTGCACTAGCAAATGGGCAGCAAATGGTGTTGCTGCAAAGGAATAAAACCCACCTTGCATTTTGGTTACAACAACTTGAAAGAATTCCTGCAAATATCCCTGAGGGCGCTCTTAATGAATAGCTCAGAGAATGTTGTTGAAAATGTTGCTTCTGATGTTCTTTCATTTGTAGTAGGCAGCAACAACAGCAGTCCTGACAAGCCTCCACAAATCTATAGAGCTGAGGCCTTCCCAGCTGTCCGTTTTCTCCCCATACGTCAGATCCCTAATCAAAGCTGGCTTGTACTGGCGGGTGCCTATAAAACTCTCTTGTCTCCAAGGAACTGAGAAGCCTCAAAAACTGAAGAGGGTTCCCTAGCCGGGCGGTGGTGGCGCACGCCTTTAATCCCAGCACTCGGGAGGCAGAGGCAGGCGGATCTTTGTGAGTTCGAGGCCAGCCTGGTCTCCAAAGCGAGTTCCAGGAAAGGCGCAAAGCTACACAGAGAAACCCTGTCTCGAAAAAACCAAAAAAAAAAAAAAAAAAAACTGAAGAGGAACCAGACAATAGGGGCTCTTTCCACTTCCTCGTCTGGATATCTCGTCACTTTGGCTCTGGCTGCATTATTTAGGTGACAAACAGGGACTGAAATTCCCATTATCAATCCCAGGTACATGTTTAGGATCAGGATCTTATCAGCTCTGTATGGTCACGGACTCCATTTGGTTTCTTTGACCCATTATCTTGTTTTTAAGTGTGAGTCATGACCCCATACAGAAAAATGTGTGCAATGTAGAAGGTATAACCCCAGTATTTATTATCAAGAGCTCCCCATTAGCCACCACACAGGAAACAAAATCACTCTTTCCTTTTCCCCCAAAATACCCTTCCTGCCCCTCCCAGTAACGACAGGCTCTGCTCCCTCCTGGATAACCACCACCGGAGCTATTATGGCATCTGCCTCTGTGTTTTTCTTTGTGGTTTTTATCACCTAAGCACATATTGTAAACATTGTCTTACTTTCCTTAAAGTTACACCTGTGTAGATTCAGAATCACAGAGAATGTTCCTATCTGTCAGGCTTCCTTCACAGAGCACAGTGACTGGCATCATTCCCCTGGGGTGAGATTCATTCATTTCCATTTCACGTGGAATGTCAGCTTAGTTTTTCCCTCTACAGTTGATAGACATGGAGTTTTCTACAGCTCAGGGCTATCGCAAATAGCTCTGCCATAGACGCTTTTGTATATAACTCTCCATGCCCAAGCCACAAGCCCACACACTCTGTCACGTGTAAATCTGAAGGAGAACTACCTGGGTCATTACCTGACATATGTATATCTTAGATCTTAGTAAGTAAGGACAGGGGTTTCCCAATGTGCCTGTATCACCAAAGCTCCCCACAGCCCTGTTGGGAAGATTCATAGCATTTCAAATGCTCCTCGTGACTTCACAGCTGATGTGGTGAGGTCTCCTTCTAGTTTGGATGGCTTTTCAAGTATCTGTCATTTGAATAGCCTCTTTTCTTCAGTCCCCCGGGTTGTTCACTTTTTGTATTCCTTGTAGGAGTTGATTAAAGATATAGACAAGGTGGCATGTGCCGATCGTTCCGGCTATTCCAAAGACTGAGGTGAGAGGATCTTTTGAACCCAGGAGTTGAAGACCAGCCTGGGCCATACAGTAAGAACCGGACTCAAATGACAGGAGTTATGTGTCCACCTCTTCCCTCCCTCTCTGCACCATCTTTGCATGGAAGACATTTCCAGTTTTACTGTGACCATGCCTTGTCACAGTAAAGGCATTTTGTTTAGTACTTCTGTTGTTCTGTTTATTAAGCTCTTGTTTAGCCTAGTCATTTCTCTTAACTAAGCATTACTGTTTTTTCTCCCCCATGCAGTCTTCCTGAAATTGATCTTTATGTTGGGGTCAAGTTCGTGGGTCTCTTTATTTTTGCTTTGTGTTTGTAGGTGTTTGTGTAAGAACAGCAACTGGCTCAGTCTGTTTTGTGAAAGACCGCCCTTCTTCACGGGGTCACTCGCAGGACCCACTTCCTCTTCCTGGAAACTAATCTGCTCCTACAATGTCCATGGTTAGCCCAGAGACTGCTGTGGCAGTTCTGAGCCCATTTGTGTATTATTATTACCATTCTGAGTCTACCTAGACTTCGGCACAGAGTGTGGAAGTTGTGTGCAGTGAATTTGAACGTCCATGAGCCCACAACTCTGCATTTCCTTTGTGTCCAGTCTTTCATTCTGCTCTTCCATCTGCAGCCATTCCCCACAGCCTGAAAAACAACCTTTCATTAGAGAGGATACAAGAGCAGCGTCTGGTTCAGAGAATTTCCTCAGTTTGTGTTTTCCTGAAGCATTTCTGTCTAGCTTTGCTTCCTGAAGGATGCATTCACTGAGCACACGGCTCTAGGTCGGCCTTTCTTCTGTTCCATTGTCTCTTGATGAGCAGCGATGCTGTTTACCACTCAGCCCCGTTTCCCTGCTGCATCTGGGAGGCAATCTCGCCTGTTTCAAGATCATTTCCTGTGGTTTTCTACAGTTTAGCACACACCCAAGTGTGAAGTCAGCCTTATTCAGACTTCTAAGCATTCAGAGAGTTCTTCCCTTCCTGTTGAACTTCCTCTTGCAGAAAGTTCCCAGGCTATCTCATTAAACACTGTGTCCTCCCCCCCCCCCCCCCCCCCCCCCCCCACCCCCCCGACCCTCTTCCCTTCCGGGACTCCAGTTGGCTAGATGCTGGCTTCCTCACCATGTCTGGTCTCTTTCTCCCTTTCTCTGTTCTCTCATTTCCCCTCGCATCACTTCATTCTGGATTTAAACCCTTTAGCAATTTTTTTCTCAATTCTAAAATGTTTAACTGTTAATCTCATCTACTGAATTCTGAGCTTTTCTTACTGTATTTTCTTTTTTTCTATGCTAAGAATTTTATTCAATTAATTTATTAATACTGCCATTCTAATGTAAACTTATTTTTCCTATAAATGTGTGAACTTCTACAAAATATGCTCAATAACTATAAGTAATAACTTGAAATGTATTTTATCATATAAATTTAGAAGCACCTATATTGCTCACTTACAGTGAATTATTTTTGCATTTATTGGACATACATGACAAAAAATTGCAGAAAGTCTTTGATGAATTGCAGACCATGAAGTAAAAAGTATATGCTTATCTTCTAACAGAAGGGACAAGTATCAAGTAAATTCTTCCACAAATAATACATAAAACATAAACAACATTTGATGTTTTGATATCACATGGGAAATGCAACCATTACCAGTAACTATAATAGTAATAATTAAAACAAGCTAATATTTATCAAATGGCAATTCTAAACTTGGAGTGGCACTAAGCACCATACATGGACAATTCATTTAACTTAATACTTCCGATACGTATTAATGCATGTAAAATGTCTACACAAAGAGATGAAAACATAAATATTCCTTCTTTTATCAGACACCATAATAAAACCTTAAGACAACTTTTTGTGGTTGTTCCTGCTCCTATTATTTGCTCTCTGCATCACTCAGAGCTCAACTATTTTCTGTCAAATGCAA